TGATTTTTTTTTCTTTTTTTTTTTTTTTTCTGTTCTTTATCTTATAAGTGTATTTTATTTTAATGTCATGATTATGTCTCCTTTGATAAAATTTCTATGTACAGCGCGGTGAGCCCAGCCCTAGGCTGGGGTACCTCGCTATATAAGACTACTTATTATTATTATTATTATTATTATTATTGTCAGTACAGCTGACAACTGTAGCATAGTTTATAACTGCTATCCTCTTCCCATGGAGTAGCCAAGTGTTGCTCTATCGTAACAATGGGCATAGTATCTGATTTATCATTTTCATCTTTCGGAAATGATATACCAGACAAGTCAACATCATCCTCATCTTACCATTCAGCACTTGAAATAGAATCATTGTCAATGGGAGCAATAGTTGCCATAATCTCTTTCTCTGTCTCCTGGCAGCTACTTGCATAATTCGATTCATTTTTTGTTGTGGAGTAAAAACAATAACGGGGAAATACGATACTCGAAACAAAGCTAATTACAATTAATAATTTTATTAAGTTATTAATAAAATACCAAAGTAAAAAAAGAAATATAATTAAAAACTATTAACTTATAGTATACTGTTTTGCTTGTACCGGTACAATGTCGAATAAAACCTAATAAGCCACGATGAAGAGGAATTCAAGCATATAAGTAAACAAAACTCAATCAAGGCTAACAAACTCTAAAAATAACTCTTGTCTCTCTTCCTTTAAATTAAAAATATCTCGTGAGAAAATTCTCCCCCAAAAATCTATCGAGTCACTTTATTAATGTCTGTTCTAATGATGCATCTGGAACAGCCCCACGCATTGTTTTCCTTTCCAGTTTACTCCAGATTCCTCTAAAGAATGCCAATAGAACAGACTATTAATTTAATTTCGGTCAAGAGACTACTTTTAGCTAACCACACTTTAAATGCGATCTCCAGCTTGCTTGGTGTCTGCTAGAGTTCATGGCGTTAGACAAGTCGTCTAAACAATAGATGTTACAGATTTTTCAAATCCGTCCAAGAAGCGATGTTATTATTGTTGCTCACTTTACTTACCCCTAATTCTCAAAATAATGTATTCCCACTCTTTCAATATCATTTATCTTGACTGCACATGACTCTTGAATCATGTCCTTGTACCATATCTGCAACACGATCGCAAACATTTTATATATATATAAAATAAGGTAAGATTCTTTAATTATATATATATATAGTTAAAGAATCTTACCTTATTTTATATAATATATTTCAGTAGTTTAAAAAACAGCCATTCAGTGAACTCTCTTAGCTATATAAGGGACGTATTAGTTCTCATTTAGATTTTTTTTCTGGGGAGGCACGCCGGTAAATTCGCACATATTGGGGAACAAAAGAATTTGTATATCTTTATGTCCTCGCCCTGACGGAAAGAATTCATCCCGAACGGCCTGGTCCTAAGTATCTAGGATGATGAGGGTGGGATGTATCATCCAAATGTGTTTAGTTTTACAAAAAAATCTTTCTTCAAATAGTTCTTCAAGTGAAGGATGTTTAGTTTGTGTTATGTTCCTAGCTTTCTTGATTAGTCGGTTAATGCGGTGTCTAATATCAGACGTTGAATTCCCACACCAGCTGGTAATACGGAAATTAAGTAGACTTCCAATTGTTGCACTGTAGAATAAGGTAACACATTTTTTGTTTATGCCGAAATTGTACAGTTTTTTGAGGTAGAACAGCCTTATGTTGAATTTGGTTTACAGCATTTTGCCGTGCTCATGCCCTGTTAGCTTATTATTAATGGTGACACCTAAGTACTTACATGCCTCTACCTTCTCTACACTTTAATTTTTTATATTGAGATCTGTAATCTGATGTTTTCCCGTCCAGAAATGAACAACCATTTCCTTTGTTTTTTGAGACATTCAGCTGGAGAAAAAATGCCATCTCACTAATTGATACAGCGTGTAAATAAGTTGCGGTATAAGCCTTCTCCTTCAGATATTAAGCCAACGATGGTGGTATCATCAGCAAATTTTATGATTGGACCGGTGTCGCTTGAGATTTGCATATCATTGGTATATATTGTATACAGTACAAGGGCGAGAAGGCAACCTTGTAGCGCCCCGAGCTTATTTCTCTTGTTAGAGATAATAGGATATTTACCATGACATATTGTGCGCGATTTCTTAAAAGGTTTAGTATCCTAGCTTGAATATTTTAATTTACACCCATAACGAGAATAGTTTCTTTATCATAAGGTGTGGTCGGATAGTGTTAAATGCTGAGGGGAAGTCTAAGAATTGCACTCGGGCATATGTTTTAGGATTGTCTAAGTGATGGTTAAGTCCCTCCAACAATGCTAAGATAGCATCCTCCGTACTTCTGGCAGGTTTATAAGCAAATTGGTGGGTTCAGGTTTTTGCTTTAGTTCATACAAAATTTTTCTCAGGAAAAATCTCTCAAACATTTCATTACAATAGAGGTAAGTGCGACAGGACTTAGGTCGTTGTTGCAAGTAACCTTATTTTTATTTGGAATTGGTATGATTTCTGAAGTTTTCAAAATTTTCGGCATGTTGTGAATTACAGAAAGTTTACTACATGTGTAAATAAAAATGTAGGAGATCTGCTCTGGGCATAGTTTGACGAGGTGACCACTTAATTGTCTGACCCCGAGGCCTAGGCTGCGTCCACTTGTTACTTGTTAAACATTATGTTAATTTAATGTATATTTACATCAATACTTTTGTTTTTTGTTCTGATAAAGGCATGATTACGCCGAAACTGTTTCATTTGTATTCTTCGTGATCGGAATCAAAGCTGGATATTTATTGTTTTATTTGATCCAAACTGAGTCTAATTAATCTACTGGCTCAGACAGCAGTGTAATTACTTTTTAGTTTTCACAGTTGTTGAGATCCCTTTTCTTTTTTTTTTATCTGACGGGGCATCCTTCTTTGAAATCTTTTAGAACTCTCTCTCTCTCTTCTTCCCATACCTTTTCAAACAGAGGGTGCACTATGTTCACTATTGTTTCTATCTGCTCTCATTGTCTCTCTTGCGATGTTATGTGGTTACGATGATTTTCCTATTTTGAGCTGCTTGATAGCCAGGTCTATTTCTTCTTTGGTTGGTGCACTTTATTCTATTTGTAGGTGTTCATTAGCTTGGTGTATATAGTGTGTCTGTGGGTTGTTGTCTTTTTAGTAATTCCTTGAAGTATTTCACCCATCTTTATTATTGTTATCTTCTTTTCTTGATCTACCTTCATTGTCTTTAACCGGTCTCTATGTCTTCTTGTATCTTCCTGAGGGCCTTCTTGTTATGTCATAGAACTCTTTCGTGCTTCCCTTTCTGACCGCTTCTTCTGCTGTTGATGCTTCTCTTAACACTTTGACTTGCTTATTTATATTTTTCATGTGCTTTGTTTTTGGTGCTTTCACACCATTCATTTCTTTCCTCTTGTTAATCTTTTACAACGTGTTGAGTGAGAGCCAATCTTTGCTTTTTTTGCTTCATCGTTCATAATACCTAGTTTCACTCTGAATGTTACAGACATCTTTGTGTTTTTCCAATCATGCTCTGTCTGGTCATCATCTGTTTGGTCTTGCAATGCCTGAAATTAATTCGCAAGATAAAACTGCCTTTCTGTTGTTTTAGCTCGTCTGCCAAAAGTGCAGACTATATTTTAGTTTTCTACCGTCTAGCTATTCCCAGTTTTTCTTCAGTTTTAGTTTGAGTCTTACCCAAACTACCTGGTGATCATATGCGACATCAGCTGCTCTTTTAGCTTGTACATTTTGAAAAGACATAAACACTAAACCAGATCATGCACAGATCAAATTGCAACACTATGAATAATGTAGAGCAGTCCATCGAATGGACCTCACCCCAACCCCCCCCCCCCCCAATACCCAAA